TGGTTGGTTCCAGGCCGATTCGGGTTCTGGCCCTGATGCAACTCTGGGTGCCGGAGTGGAATCGACTACTGGTTTGGCTGTAGTGGTGAGAACTGTTGTTGGTACAGATAGTACTACTGATACTATTGGAATTGTTGGACTTGTTGCATCTAGATTTGTATTACCTAGACGTACTGAACGAGGTCATGGAATTGGGAGTGGCCGATTCCAGGAGGGACCACAAATGGCTCGGAGAAAGTTGCGCCCACTAGGGGAAGCGGAATGCTCACTTGCGTAGTGCCCTATGGTACAGACAATGACGGGACTCCTGACACTATAAGAGGAATAATAAACTGGCCAATGCATACCGTAGGGCCTTGGGGGAAGGTTGATTGCTGATCTTGCCCCCGGTAACGTTCATCTCGATACTTTTTCCGATGTTTTTGGAAGAATCTATTGGGATAAATAAAACTACAACTAATGTTGGGATGACCTCTCGATCGTTTCCCACATACGGCGCCAATTGATGGTGTGCAATCTAGATACTCTTAGCTGGAATACGATCTGAACTCCAATTGTGCGGCGAGTTGGACCAACCTACAAAATAGTGGATTAGAGAACCTAGGATAGCTAACTCGGCGAGGTCGCTCTGATGCTTAAGTCAATATTATACTGTGAGTGCGAGCTGAATACTTGAGTGGTTGAATGCTAGTGAGTAAAATAATCACGTGTACCTTTGCCTTGAGGAGTCGTGGGCCTTACGAAAGAGCTCTGGGAATCAGTTATGTGGAGGCCTTTGGAATCAGTTATGTGGCATTTTGGTTCATTAGCTCCGAACTGTCACTTTGATTCTTTAGTCCTGAACTGGAATGGGTATTGAGATGTCTCTACACCGAGGTGGTCTTTTAGGCCGAGGTGGCTGGATATTCGAGCTTCGGATGTTGCAAAATGGGTTCGTTAGGCTGAGCTGTCACCCCTCGAGCAGATCGCTTCTACGTGTCCCCTTCTTAATAGGTCGTGCCAAATCACCCTTCATCAACATCCATGTTATATGCGACTTTTTTTTGTTAAAAAAATATTAATAATTAAAATAAGGAGGAGGGCAAATACCTTACCCTTGAAACAAAATTAGGAGTCTGAGCTCACTAAAAATAAAAGAAACAAAAGTAATTTAAGAATAACAGGGGTGGTAAGTGGTAACTTTTTGTTTATTCTAGAGAATGTACGAACATTTCCTGATTGAGATGTTCCTTGGGTCTTCTAGCTTAGAGTTCCTTTTCTTCTTGCTTTATCCTAATTTGAACCATTTGTTTCCTTGGGTATAGCAGTTATAATCGGATTCTCATAGGATCACCTTTTCTTGTAGGAGTGGCCATATTAACGGAGATCATTGCACCTATATTTTCAGGAACACCCTTAGCTCTATAAAGATCTACTAAAAAGATAGTGGACATTATTATGGATTTCAATCTCCTCATCATCATGACTCCATAGATTCGTTTGGACTAAAATACCAGTATGCTGAAAAACCTGCTTATCTATCAATCCAATTGATCTCCATCTTCTTTGGTTCAACAAACTTTTTATCTTTAGATGTCAGAGTCATATTCTCACCCTTTAACTTCTTTCCTTCCTTCTTGATCCTCTGATAGCATTCATCTTGATCATGGCCATTTATATAAAAAACTACAATCTTTGGAAAGATTCTTATACACAATCTCTTGCCCAAAATCATTCCATGCCAACACTAATCCAAACCCTAGTGTTTTCTTTTAACAAATCAACTTCCACGCAAACCCTAGTGGTTGTTGTACGTGTAAGTCAAATAGTCACAAGATCAACCTTCAGGACTCCCCCTACAACCTGGGCAATGGAGAGAATAAACTGATCATTAATTGTAGAGATTGATTGACAATCCTGGGAAACTTATCCAAATGAGAACTACAAAAGGCTCCCAACCCTACTCGATGCCTAGCATTCATCGAAGAAAATGAAACAAAAGGTCTTTAATCACTACCACTTCATGCAACCAAGCCCAGAGAAACTCATCTTCATCGAAAAATCAAAATGGCACATGCTTCGAATCAAGGGACATAACAACTATTGCATCTTTCAGAGCAAACGCCCCTACAAGAAACTCCCTGATCTTCGCCATAGATGAACGACCATACACACATTTTCCTACAAGAGCAAAACATAGAGGATCTAAAGATTTTTCTACCTCTTCATTTGAAAACAAAACTGTAGACTCCCCCCATTTGAGAGTGGGAGTACAAATAGGAATATCAATCGGCTTTGGATCTACAATTTGGGGAAAAGGAGTTGAAGAAGATGAAATGATTGAAGCAAAGGACGATTTTCCAAGGGGTCCCCTAGTGGCTCTCCCATAGAGAAACCCTAGTTCTAAGGTAATTTTAAGGGCCAAAAGAGAGCCTCAAAATGCAATGAGACTGTACCAAATGGGTATGATAGCAGAGAAACTCTGAATTTTGCATAATATGAAAAGGATGCATAGCAGAGGAACTTTGAATTTTGCAGAATATCAAAAGGATACATAGCAGAGGAACTTTGAATTTTGCAGAATACCAAAATGGTAATGACAATCAGAACTCCCTCCCCTACAAATTTTGCAGAATGCTAGTATTTATTGGTTATCGGTTTTCTTTCCTACTTGTAGTTTCAAGAGATGTATCAATGTTTGCATTTTGAGTTTTTAAGATTTTAAGAATTTCTGGTTTTACGATGGCGCTTAACATAATTAGTCGTATGTTAAATTAGTTGGATTATCGGATAGAACTAGAAGAATAATAATTAAAAAAAAAAAAAGATGAAAGGATTAGTATTACTTTTATAGTTTTATCAAGTAATTTGTTTTCCTTTTCTTTGTTTTATCTTCTTTGCAATATTTTTGTAAATTTTTGCTAAAGGAGAAGTGGGTATTACCGTATTAGTATTAGTCTATTACAACAATCATGTTTGGGACTTGCAAACTCCATTTAATCATAGGGTAATGTAGGTTTTAGAGTCTAAGACTTGGAAATGCATACAGTACGCATGCTTAGGCTAAGTTTGGGAGTTCTTAAAAATGAATAAGCACTTATTTTGAGTCGGGACCACACCAATAAGCACTTATTAGTGTTTGGGAAATAAGCCCAAAATAAGAGAATAAGTACTTATTTGAGAAGCCCAAATTTTAGGCTTATTTTTAAGTGCTTATTCATTAAGTACTTATTTCCTTTCTGGCTGCCATGTCATTTTAAAAATACCTATGCTACCCCTATTTAAAATAAGTGCTTTTTACCAAACACTCATAAATAAATAAGCACTAGTTTTTAAGCACTTATTTTTCAAATAAACACTCCCAAACTTGGCCTTAGTCTACTTATGCTTGGTGGGCTGTGTTAAGTGGTATCAACATATATTCTGCTAGTATATTTTTCAAAAAGAAATGACATTTTCTATTGGTAGGCCTCAAAAAGCTAAACATCAATTTTGAGGAGGGTTAGTTGATCTCCTCAGATGCCTCCCCTACCCCTTGGCAATCCAAAGACTAATATCCCTTGAGGGGCGACCTTGGCTAATGGCTTCATAGCTATCAGGATTTCTTATGGGCACAAAATTGCTCATAGGGATAGTGCATGAATTGGCACTACGCGTAACACATGAAAGGGAGGCTTTGCATGTGGGTTGGGCTTAAGCATGCCCTTACATCTTGTTAGTCCCATATCTGAGCTAATCAAGCTATCCGGTCGTCCAAGCACACAGATGTGTTCCAAGGCCAAATAGTTGCCTAGCATCTCAACATCGGCATAATCCCCTATTGCACATAAGTGACGCCTCTTGTGGACTGGAAATGACACACAGATAGAGCCCCAACTCTGAGTGTTGGGAAAACGACTAACTTGGGCTAGAAATTGAGCCATCACCCATCAGTTATGTGAAATGGAGGTGATAGGACCTCCAATGATGATTTTCAAAACTATTTTTGTTTTAATAGTCACTCCAAAGCTCAAGGCACTGGCTACACCAATCCAATCCGAGTAAGACTGGGATGGGAGAGGAAAGGGGTTAGGCACCCCTCTCCCGGGTCCAATAGGTGGGGCAGACATGAGGTTCTAATAAGCATAAGCACAAATACACGCAAAAAAAAGGCAAATATTTAATCCATAAAAAAACTAACTAATGTCAAGAAAATAACAAATCAACACAAAAGAAATTCCTCATTTTTACTTATCTCTATTTTTTTATTTTATTTTTTGCTCTCTTTTTATTCTCTTTTATTATATATATATATATTTGAATTTTCTTTGATTGATTAATTATTTTTTTATTTTTTGTTCTTAATAATTTTTTTACATTTTTATAATTTCATTTTTGCTTGTCTTTATTTTTATCAATTATTTATTTTATTTTATTTTTTGTTATTTCTTCATGAAATCCTATTAACGTATTTATTTATTTATTTATTGACTGCTCACCAACCTACTATTTTCTAACCCTTCCTAACTTGTTGATACTTCCTAACTGCTAAGCTAGCCAAAAAAATCAATCCAATTTTATTATCATTATATTTATTTTTTATTGTTTTTTATTTTGTTTTTTTTTTTACAGAACCGTGCTCTGTATAACCGACCCCCTCTTCATTCTAGTCTAGGAATATATCTCACCCATAGATCTGTCATCTCCCTCCTTGTCACTGATTTTGACTAATATTTTATTTATTCTCTTTTTTATCCATAGCCACTGTACTACATACTTACTCGGCCATCTCCTCCTACTCCGGCATTAATGACATCGAACAGTGAATGGTAAAGATAGCAGAAATGCAAAATGGCAGATTAACCAGAATAATTAAGAGGAAGAAAATTACAAATTGAGATGCTAAGCTTAGAAACTTGATCGCAAGCAGAACAAAATGAAAACACCATCGTCGTAATCATTGAAAAATAGCACGAGTCTAAGCTTAGATAAAGAGATCCAAATACTAATCTGTATGACCAGAGTTGATATAGAGAACTTACCAGGCTGAACCAGCTCCTCCGACAATCTGACTATGGCCTCAATTTACACGATGGAACAGGGGAACCGAGATTGAAATTGAGAGATCGCTGAAAAAAGGACTTCCGCCGTAAAGTTCGATTGAAAACGAACAAAAGAGTGTTAGATGATTGCTACCATGTCGACTCTAGTCTGATTTTAACTCTGATTCAATCAATGTCATTGGCAAACTCCGTAAACGCCGCCATGAACTGTTGGGTGTGGGTCCAGCCCATATGGATGGGCCCACCCCACCTTCATTTGCTCCCTAAAGAAAAGGGAGCCGAATAGTGGTAAAGTGGTTACCACATTGTCGGTTTTGTATTATTTTTTTTTTTTTTTTGAGTGGCGTCAAACTAGTAACCACCGAACAAGAAGAACTAAGAAGAAGAAGAAAAATACAGAACCAAAAAGAAAGCTTTTTTCTGGTTCTTTGAGTTTTGTGAAGAAGAGGAAAAAATTGGCTCTTGCTCCATTCAAGATCAAGTTTGGATGTGTCTTTTAAGCCCGTTCTTAATGATATTAAGTGTTGGAGTTAAGAACCCCACTCCAATTCAGATTTGGTGATTCTTCTTCCTTTTCTTTATTTCTCAGTTCAAATTTACAGCAACTTGGTGAGATCTAAACTTATGTTTGTGTTATATCCACCTTACATTTGGTGATGTTAATATTGTTCTTGTGAGCCAAGGATTATTTCCTTGATATTTGTAAACCTCTAGTTGCAACTAGAGAAGACTATTGTACTCATTAATTTCTGAATTAGTTGAAGACTTTTACGGACCATAGGTCCCGTGGTTTTTCCCCAATTTTGGGGTTTTCCACGTAAAAATTCCGATGTGCTATAGTGTGGTGATTGTTATCTGTTTTCTGTTACTTGGCTGAATTGTTTACTTGTTATTATTATTGTTGGCAAACCCATTTTGACACAATTAATTTGGGGGAAAGATTCTTGTTGTCCTGTAATTGGTTTTACATTCATTTCTGCTACTATAGTGTAACTTACCCAACATGAACCAACTGTCTTCTAATAGATCGAAGCTTGATGGTAGAAATAGTGAGAATTGAGGAAGTCTGGTTGCCACTGATCATGTGTGAATGAAATTACTTTGACTAATCACAATTGCGAAAAAATGATGCCGTTGATCCGTTGCTGGCGAGAGGTGGAAGCCTAAAAGGTAATGAACAGGGATTTAGGCGGGGGTCCGGGATAGTGGGAATAAAGAAAGAAACATGAGAGAGATTGAGAGATTGAAGAAGAAGAGGAATGAAGAAGGGAAATGGTTCTGTCGAGCTCTGTTCTCATCACAAGGTTGAAGACGATGAGTAGAGCTTCGGTCGGGTTCTTTGGGGAAGAAAGAAGAAGATGAGAGAGAGGAGAGAGAGATCGGAAGTGAAGGGGGGTTACCGCCATTGCATTTGGTTCATCGCCTCTGCTCTCGTCGTCTCTAGTTCGATGGTGACAAAGCAGTCAAGATGACGACGACGATGAGTTAGAAGAAGAAGAAGAAGAAGAAGAAGAAGAAGGAAATAGGAAAAGAGAGAGATAGGAAAGAATGGTTGGGAAGATGATTGAAGATGAAGGGGGTCGCCGCTGCTCTGCCTCTCTTCGAACAAAAGAGAAGATGAATAGTGCATTAACTTAAACTGAAAATTTAGTTTATGTTTGGTTTGAAGGAAAATACAAGGAAATGTAGGAAAACCTTTATATAGGTTTTCCTGTCCCTACCTTTCCCTTCCTTTTCCTAAATTTTCTATCAAACCAAACATATCCTTAAGGTTTAATTAGGTTTAATCTATAGATATGGTTAAAGGGTATTTTCATAATTTTAAAAATTCAACAGCATGAAATTTTGGGCTAAAGCGCGTCCTGGGGTCATTCTAGGGTTCTACTTCAATGATGGGGGGTTTTGGGCTAATGATTATAGGGTTAAGATTGGTTTTGGGCATAGAGAGGGGTTTTACATGTGTGGGCCAATGAGATTGGCCAAAACGGAATCTTTCCAAATAGATGGGTAAACAAGGGTATTTTTTTATTGAAATTTGGCAAGATGAGATTTTTGGACATTTTAAGTTTATTGGTGGGGTCAGATTGGGCCAAATGGGCTTGGATTTGATAGATCTTGAAAGGGATTTATTCGGTCAATATGGAGCCTCGGAATGAAATCTTGGTGCGATGGAAAGGCAAACAAAGGTTTTGGGCTCCAATTTCATAAGTGGGTATTTTAGGGTATCCGAGATCTGGTGGTAATGTCTGATTGGTTCAGGGGGTCAAGATCGTAGAAATTTGGGGCAACAGGGGGATCTAGAATGGAATCTTGGTTCGATAAAAGGGTAAACGGAAGAATCTTGGGTTGAAACTTTATGGGTAGGTGTTTTGGTGTATCCAGAATTTAATGGTGTGGTCTGATTGGTACAGATGTGTTAAGATCAAGAGAATCTGGATTTCGAGTGTTTAGGCTAAAGAGACATCGAAACGGAATATTGGTTTGATGGAAGGGTAAACAAAGGAATTTTGATTTGAAGTTTACTAGGTAGATATTTTGGAAGGTCTTGAGTTTAATGTTGGTGTCTATTCTGAGGATTGAGGTGTAAATAAGGGTTGATCAAGGCCATTGGATTTGTATCAAATAGGTTTAACAGTGGATTTGGGCAGAAAGTTGGGATTTTTAGGTTTTTCGGAGAGATCGAGAGTGTCTGAGTGGTAATTTGGGGTGAATTGGGGTTAAAGCAATAGACTGAGCAAAAATCAAGTGTTGACAACTACCTCTCTTTGTTATGAGGTAGGAGACTACGAAATAAAAAAAATAAAAAATAAATAAACCAAAAGAAGCACACAAAGATTTTTGTAAAGGGAAGGCTTAGGAGAGGGGCGAAGTAAGGAAGGAGGAGGAAGGAGAATTGAGGTGAAGGCGAAAAGTTCCCATGTAGCATTGTTCCATCGTTTACAAGCTATTTTATTTTTGGCAAAGTGATTCATCCTAGGTATCAAGAACCTTCAGAATCAAAGTACATTTGCTGAAAGAAAAAAAAAAAAAAAAAAAAAAAAAAAAAAAAAAAAAAAAAAAAAAAAAAAAAAAAAAAAAAAAAAAAAAAAAAAAAAAAACAATAATGAAAGCAACTTATCATGTGAAAGCTGATTACTTTTGGCAAAGTGACCCCTCCTAAGTATCAAAAACCTTATGGAATCAAAGCACATTTGTCGTAAATGTGCTTTGACCTCAAAGCATAAAGGCTAACATAACCAACGAATGATAGACATGGGTCAAAGTATAAAGGCTGACATGACCAACGAAAGACATACGCGTGTTAAAGCATAGAGGCTGACATGACCAATGGAATTTCTGACGTGGGTCAAAGCATAGAGGTTGACATGACCAATAGAGGATAGACGCGGGTCAAAGCATAGAGGTTGGCATGACCAACGGAATTTTTTATTGCTGACCAAGGCATAGATGTTGACATTACCAACGGATTTTCTAACATGTGTCAAAACATAGATGTTGACATGACCAATAGAATTTCTGACGCAAGTCAAAGCATAGTGGCTAACATGACCAACGGATTTTCTAATGCAAGTCAAAGAAAAGAGGCTGACATGACCAACGGATTTTCTAATGCGGGTCAAAGCACAAAGGCTAACATAACCAACGGGATTTCTGACATGGGTCAAAGCATAGAGGCTGACATGACCAATGGGATTTCTAACACAAGTGCATAGAGGCTGACATGACCAACGGGATTTTTGACACGGGTTAAAGCATAGAACCTGACATGACCAATGGATTTTCTGACGTCGATCAAAGCATAGAGGCTGATATGACCAACGGAATGTACTGACATGGGTCAAGGCATAGAGGCTGATATGACCAGCGGAAGACAGACACGGGTTAAGGCATAGAAGCTGACATGAACAACAGAAACCAATGCGAATATCACCAATGAAGTTGAGATTTATATACTTTAACAAACAAATCTTTAATCAAACTATAAACTCAAGAAGTAAAACACCGATGTGTGAGATAAACACTTGAAGGGATTTTTGAATAATTAGGAAATGGTTTACACAAAAGACCTCGGAATAACCAACATATAAGCAAGCAAAAGGATATGATGTGATGGTAAAATAAGATAGAAGTTGATCAGTATGTACTAAAAATGTCAAAACATTTCCTCAAACTATGGTACAAGGAAGTATTCAATTATCGAGCAATGCATACGGACATGAAATATTGGAATGGTAAGAAGGAAAATACTCAAGGGCAAAAGTGCCTTCAACCTTAATTCATATGGAAGTGATTATGTCCAAATGGTCCACTTTTTGTTCGCATCAAACAAAAGTGTCTCTTATTTTTAGGATCATCACTTAAAACTCATTGACTTCAAAAACATGTGTGATGGAATTGTAAGGTGTTGAACAAGGGATTCACTTTAGGAAAAACCTTCATTATAGGGTGTTTACCTTAATTTTCTATTTTTTGTTTTTTTTCTCTTTTCTTTTTTTTTTTTGACTAACATAAATGGTGGGTTATGAAACTGATACTCCAATGGAGAGAGTCACAACTATGGTCCTTCATTGTCAGCTAAATAGGTCTATTCAGTGCTTATTTGCCGGTTTTTCAAAGATCGAGGTCTTGTTCTTTATGATGAAATGTAGCATGGGATGAAGGTTACAAATGATGGGTTAAAAGGCCCAAATAACAAATTAATATAGGTTTTTCATGCTCAAATCATCATTTGGAAAATTTAATTCAGAACTTACTCTCATCATCACATTTTCATCTTCTTTATTTTCTTTCTTCTCTCTCTTTTTATTTTATTTTTTTTTTATCAAGGCTCTCTTCATAGCCATATGGATGGAAATTGCTCTTCATATTCTTCATTAGAATGAATTATACATTCTTATTGATTAGGGAGGACTTAATTTTAGGACAAAATGTAAATAGCTAGAGAAGATCAAAACTAGCATGTGAGTGTCATCATGAAAGATCCCATAGTAATAAAATCATCTTAACTGCCTTAGTTTCTTCTAATTATTTCTTCATTCTCCGTTTTCCAATTCACTATTGCATTGATCTTCATTGACAATTGCCAAACTTTCCTTGATTATTTCATTCTCGGCAAAGCTACCAAAAGTTCATTCATTTTTCCTATCTTCCTTCTCTTTTTTTTAATTTTCTTTTACCCTTACCAATTTTTTGCACTTCTCTTCCTTTCATTTTCATTTTTCTCATTTTCTCATTTTTAAGCCTTTTCCTTTGAGATCTTTCTCAATTACCCTAATTGCACTCTGCTTGTTTTAACACCCACTTGCTAGGAAGTGTTTATTATGAAGAAAATGTTGATAGAAAGGTTAAAATGGCCAACTATGAGACTTTACTACATATTATTAGAATTAAATGCACAAGGTCAAACTAGAGGCCAGGGATGGCCTCCCTTCATTTTGTTATTGACTGCCCATCACATATTGAAGAAGCACATGTTGTGCATAGTATATGTCAAGCAAAACCCCTTGGACACTCTCACTCTTCTCTCTTTTTTTCTTTTTCTCCTTTCTTTTCTTCTCTCCTTTTTTATTTTTCATCATTTTCAGCCCTTTGATAACCCCTAAGGTGTATCCTATGGATTTGGCTAGTTTGTCAAAAAATATGTCTAATGCATAAGCTCAATTGATTAACTAATGATTTCTACAAATTCAAAGGATTATTGAAAAAAGAGAAACGGCCGAATGATGGCCATTTGTTCTATGCCAGCTCAAGCATTATTCAAAGGGAATGTGCTACATTCTGATGACTTCAATGTTGCCCTAGTTTGGACAAGAAGGATGCACTACAAAAAATAAGGGTTTTGGCGATATTAGACAACTGCTGCCAATACCACTGCTACAAACATCGTGGAAACCTTCTTGCGACGTTTGCACAAATGTTGCCCCTATAAAAGCCCGAAAAAGTTTCGATGACATTTCTAGAAAATTTTAGTGATGTTTGCAAATGTCACTGAAATTGGTTCACGTCTCCTTTGGTCGCACCAAAGGCCACACTTTTGGTGACGTTTATGACCCCACTTTTGACGACGTTTGTAAACGTCACTAAAAGCTCTCAAGATTGATTTCCTTGGTCACTTATGGCGACATTTGTACACATCGCCAAAAGGTGACAATTTTTTTTCCTTGACCACCTTACAAACGTCACCAAAAGTTGACTTTTTTTCTGTCCCCATTTTTGAAGCTATCCAAATGAGTTTAAATAACCTGATTTACGCTTTACACCTAATTAATCGTATTTATCCATATAACATTCTAATTGACAATATAAACATATATTAAAATATTACAAAAAAACTTTAATACTTGCAATTAAACATTTATGTTTAAACAAAAAATATAAAAAAGAAGATAAAATATCATCCAAAATGAAGGGATTTCCGCTTTGCATTCACATTCTCCTTTTCCCTACTTGTTACATGTGCACAAAAGGACCCTATGCCAGGTACTTGTCCGATGTCCTACTAAAGACAAAACAACTATATTATATTTTCGCTAAAAAATAGGAAAGTATAAACATAATTTTTCTTGGTTGATATAAAAATAAAATTAAATTTGGCTTATCGTACCAGGTTTGATGATGGACCTGCATGATGGGAATCAAGATCTCAAAGTGGAACAAGAGTGTTTACCGACTCATGGTTCTACCAAAAAAAAAATGTATTCAAATATTCTTATCAGAAGTGAATAAGAGAAATGGATTAATTATCATAAACATATTATTCGATACAGCAAACCTGTACAAAGCCATCGAATATGAAGAAATACTTTTTGTTGGCTATTTTGATTTTTGCATCATAATATTTAACTAAATTATAAAGTACACCTCAAGTTTTTTCCAGTGACACAAAACAATTGAAAAGGATCAAATACCAAATAAACTTAACTTGAAATTACCATTTACCTCTACCCTGTATAGGTGGATAGTGCAGCAAATGGATCAAATATGATCTAGTTCTACTTTGAATATGGTCCACTTAAGCCAAGTTAATTTAAGTGCTAAGACTTAACTTTCTAAATTTTGACTTTTTATTCATCAATGTATACGATGTTGGTTCGGTGCAGCTTATGACATTTTATTAATTTTTGAAAGTGTTAAAAAGCTAATTAATGTAGAACTTGTGCTACAGAAAACTCCCTTACCGACCCTTGAACAACTTTGATATCACATGGACTTGAATGAATGGATCCCAGTTGAACTACTTTTTTTTGTAAAAAGGTAAGGTAAATTTATTAATTGAAACAGAACCCTACAAGCAAGCCACAAAAGAGGAGCAAACACCGAGAACAAACTCCCAGATAACATTACAACTCAAAAATACTTTTGGACCTTAGAAGAAAGGAAATGATCCTCTTCTGCTTGACTACACAGCTCACACATCATGTTCTGAATCAGGACTCCTCTTCTGCCCAGATTCTGTTTGGATAGATCTCTATCCAAAACTATAGCCCAAAGCAGAGCATTCACTTTGAAGGGGGGAATTTGGTTCCAAATTTTAATAGTAGGAAAATTTTCAATTCCTCCACCTGCTAACCTTCTAGCAAAAGAATTCATAGTGAAGCTTCCATCTGCATTCCATTTCCAGATCCAAGAATCTTCTTCCAAGGGATTCAACATCTGGTTGGAGAGCTGCCCAATAGCTCCACCACTTGATCTACTTCCCAATCTAGAAAGGGTCTTTTGAAAGCGAAAATCCAGGCAAATCTATTTCCAATCACTTCACAACAATCTGTTACCCTTACCTCTTGGTTTTCTGCAAGTTGAAAAAGTTGGGGGAATAACTCTTCAAGGGACTTGTTATTGCACAACTTGTCTTTCCAGAAACTCAGACGATGCCCTGAGCCCAACTTAGGGGACAAACCATTGCGAAGAAGAGGGTAGACTTCCATGGTCTTCTTCCAAAGAGAGCACCCCAAGGAAGGAAGGTTTGGCTTGGCTAACCAGTCCCCTCCATCTGTTCCATACTTAGACTACAAGTAAATTCCTCCACCAACTATTTCTTTCTCTTGCAAATCTCTAAATCCATTTTCCCATTAACGCTCTATTGAAAATTTTCAGACTTCTCACCCCCAATACTGCTCTGCTCACTTTCATCAACTGCAACACAACCACAACCCTGGAGGGCAGGGCACTAGGACAATTAACTTTTTCTTCCTCCTCTTTTGGACCAAGTTCTTTTCTTTCAATTGCATTTGTGTATAAGCTCTTCTGAAATATCTCTTGTCAAAATAGAAAGATAGAGAGAGGGGGGAAAGAAATTTATCAAAAAAACAAAGAAGATAATGCTCCCCAAAGCATTCAAATCATTCATGGATTGGCCATGTATGATTTATTTCAGTCCACCAGTCCATGATTCATAATTTACAACCCTCATATGAGCTAGATTTGCTAGTGGGTGGGATTCAGTTTTTGGTCTCTGATTTTCTTGGTTGGAGCCTTTGGTTTTTGCAAAGAACTAGTAGGTTGTTTTCATTTTCTTGAATTATCATGGGTAGACTCTGCTATGTATGGAAATGGTGTTCAGTTGTACGGTTACAACAAGGTCTTATAATGGTAAAACCTAGAGAGGGTCTGGTTTAGAATTTGGAAACTTATATGCAAAAAAGGAGAAAGAAAGGTGAACCAGTCCCCTTCCTCTCTTCTAGCTTATCCTATTATCTTATCTAACTTATATATCTCCATCAAAAGAAATGGACCAAGTCCCCCACTCTCTATCTGGCTTCCCACAAAACTCTCTAAAGTGGTAGTTATGTGCATTCTACAGTACTACAATTTCTATTCCCAAGATTTCTTGTTATTGAGATATCTAAAATAAAGCTTTCCTTTTAGAGTGTTTGGTTGCTTGGATCATTGGGGTGTTCCAAGAATGTACTTTAGCTTAGAAAAGTGTCAATGAGCCAAGCCTAGAGCCCCCTATTAATTGCTAGCAGGGGCAGGGCCCTTAGGTTGTGTTTGGTCTAAAGGAAAAGGTAGGGAAACCTATACAACAATTTTATTGGTTTCCCTACCTTTCCCTTCAAAATAAACTCAACATTAAATTTAGCTGCTTTTGCTTAACAAACCCTTTTTGAGCTATGATTAGTGGCTCACTTCAAGCTCAGCTAATTTATATGTGATACAAATAGATATAAGTGGATAGAGGTATCCCCCTCCCCCATTTACACAAGTTGTATGCATACATATACATGAAACCACCTGACCTAGCTCATTTTTTAAGAAACCTCCTACACCTGAGTGGCCTGGATTCGCCCTACTACTTCCATCAATGTTCAATTTTATGTACCCCTCAGTTTATGAAGATCTCATTCTTCCTATCTTACTCTTCCCCTTTCAAATTTAGTTAACAATGCCAAGTGACACTTGCAAAACCATGATTTATTTTTTTATCAATAATAAAGAAATAACAAGGTGATTTTATTTTCTTTTCAAAACCTGTCCTACTTTTGTTGATATTCTACATTGGATGAACAAAATAGAGGTTGGATATTTTTTAGTTTTTTACTTCACTCTTGAAAATTTTTGGTCCTTATGTTCATTTTCACACAAGTAGCAGTTAAATTCCCTACAAGTAATGAACAAATGCATCAAACAATAGGTTTATGTATATGCTTGAAAATTTGCTAAAATTGGAATTCCAGGAGCTCTTGTAGAAGCACTTTCTGAAGGATTAAGTTCACCTAGTCTAGTTTCGGCAAGCATTGCCCTGAAGGCTGTTGCTGTCAATGTAAGTTTAATTTTGAAATTCTTCTAGTTTTTATATTACTATATTTTAATGTTTTACCTGTTTCTGCTTCTGTTGTTAGAACTCTCTTAATGTAGTCTATATTGGCTATTGTAATCCGTATAAACTCTCTTATAGTCTTTCTTCATTTTAATAATTTTGCCATATGTTAATTATTTTGAAGTTATGCTGATTACCAAGGGAAGTATTTCTTCTTATATGTTCAGAGATATCATATCCTTTCTTTTCTAGCTGAAGAGAGTACTACCAATAAAAAAAGTGAATGATCAACATTATTCTAGCCTGCTTGAGCACTTTTTTGCATAGAGTGGTCGTTCATAGACTTGAACCCACATTCTCACATTTGTCAGCCAGAGGTTTCAACATAAAAGAATCGGCGGAGAAAGAAAAAGAAAAAGAACCAAACTACTAAGAGAAGACTCCTTGACAAAAGAAAAAACAAAGAATAATCGTCTTTTCTCTTTAGCATCTCTAAGGCCTAAACACCTACTCAGTGGCCCAATGCAAAGAAACAGAACAGAAAAGCGAATGGTTTTATCATCTCCAATTTTGCCAATTTTGCAAATTTTATCAAAGGCCACAGTAATCTAACAAGAAAATAGCAAAAACAAAAAAGAATAACAAGACAATAGGAATAAAACTCCACACAGGATAGAATAAACATACCTATCTAAACTTGTTCTGTTGTTCTTCTACTTCGGTTCCTCAGTATTCGGTGTTAAGGCTGACTAGCTTGTTTTGTTGTTCACAGGAAAGCCTAACTTGTTATGTTGTTCTAACAGTTTTGCCACAGGTTAGAGTCTAAAGATGGAGATAAATGGATTAGGATTTTTCTTTTTCAAAGTGTAAAAGGTATGGAATGGGAAGGAGAGAGAGAATGTAGTAGCCGGTGGCGAGTCGGCAACAATGGTGGGAATGGGGCGGATATAGTTCGGTTAAGTAGGAGAAGAAGAGGGTTTCGGGTTTCCACGATTGGTGACGGTCAAATGGAAATAGCAGTGGTGGCCGGTGGTCGATACTCGATAGAATGGCTGCGAAGACATACGTTTCTGTGAGAGAGGCGGCTGAGAGCTGGCTTCAGTGTTTTGTCGAAGAAGAAAGGTAGGGTAAAAGGGAAAAGTTAAAGTCGAGTGGTTTCCTATGTTTTCAAAACCGGAAACGGTAGACTACGAAAATCCAGGAACCGGTCACCTGATCTGTTCCGTGTCACCCCAAAATCAATTTTTGGCTAAACAACATTGATTTGGTTAGTGAATCGTTGATCCGAGTGGTATCATTCAAACAACGGTTTTTGGTTTTTTTTTGTTTTTTAATTAATTATTTTATCTTTTTTGTCAGAACAAGTCAAAAAACGATGATTGAACCATTCAACCTAGGGACCAGACCCTATAATGGTTCTTTGTCTGGTCTGATTTTAAAAACCTTGGTTTTGTTTTTACTTTTTATTCTTTTTAATTTTTATAAAATAAATACTTTTATTATATATTTATATATTTGTAATTTAAACTCTAAAATATTCGATATATATATTTGTACAGTAATTTATAATTGGATTTAGTTTATAATATAATAAACCAAATCGAAACCATAAACCGTACTTTTCAAAATTATGTAACCAAACCAAACCATTTTTATTATAGGCCAAACCAAACTACCAATTTGGTTCGAAGTCGAATCCTAACGGGACTCAAATCATATTCGGATTTAACCCAATTCTGCTTTAATGTTTTAAAATCCAACAAAAATAAAATTTTAATTACCTTTTAACTTTTATGCAAATATACATATTGAATTTATTATATATAGATCCATATATAATATAATATATAAAAATATATTTTTATAAATTCAAATATAATTATATAAAGTTTATATATTAAAATCAATACATGCTATATTATAATCGCATTTGGACTTTAGTTGGATAAATGGAGTCAAATCCAAATCTCGATCCAATTATTAATCGGATGTAGGTTAAAAACTCCAAATTTTATCTAATTATATAAATACATCATCATATAATCAGATCGAGCCTCAGATTTTTGGGTATCATTGATAGGCTTAGTCCTCGTCCCTGTCCCTAATCAGGGGTATTCCTATTAATTCCATCTCCACCCTATCCCTCTTAAGGCAATCTCCATCTCCATCCTTGCCTAGTTGGGAAGGTTGGGTACTAGGGGTGAGCAAAAAAAAAAAAAAAACTAAAAAACCGAACCAACCGAAAAAATTGACCGAAGGTTCCGGTTTTTAAAAATCTGAAGGTATCGGTTTGGTTTTAGTTAACCAATATAGAAAATCGACGATTAACTGAACTAACCGGTATTCATATATTTCTATATATTTTGTATATATTTATGTATATTATATTGTATATTATAAATTAATAAATATGCATTATATATATAAATATATATTTATAATATATGATATATTATTTTTTATTTAAAATATAATATTTATATATTTTTTTTTATTATATATTTTTATATTATATTATAAAAATTAAAAAATTAAAAAACCGATGAACCGAACCGATGGTTAACTGAACCGGTCAACCGATTAGTTTGATTCAGTTTTGATTACCCATTTTCCAAAAACCGGTAGTATCAGTTCGGTTATAAAAAAAGGCCTATGGTTCAGTTAACCAAACCATAAACACCCCTATTGGGTACTCGATTGGGATGGGAAATTTGTCATCCCTACCCTCAAGTTGTGTAGCCTAATAGAGTAATAGGTTTTAATCCCAATATTTACATATTACTAAGTCGGCTCAGATTGAATTTATATGGGAACGTTTTGGAATAGGATTAAGTAAAACCCATGCTCAACCCAATTTGACATCACTAAATATAACTAATCCTCAAAGTTTTATTATCTAATTAATTAATTAATTAACTAGTCATCTAATTAATAATTAATAATAAAATAAAATATAAAATAGATAAAAACATTGTTGATTAATTATACATGAATGAATATTTAATTAAAATAAGAGTTAATATTTAATAAATTAATAATGTCATTGGCACTACTTTATACTTACTATATATCTTCCCTTTTGCAAACAACCAATAAAAAGTGAAAAAATTTCCACCATTTCTTTATATATCATCACTATAATTTTTTTAAGAAATATAAACAAATAAAATAAATGCCTAAATATTCTAAGTATAATAAATTATAATAATAACATGCCTAAACTTAATTAAACTCCATTTCAATATTCAAGATAACTTTAAATAAGACATAGCATACAATTAATATTAATAGTTGAATACAAATTTGTAAGGTTAACAAATAAATTAATAAAAATATTAATTACATTTGTAAAATAAAAATAAAAAAAATCTATAATTGATGTAGTGTGATCTCTCTACTCCCTACTGGAGGATGACCTGGCTTCCAGTCGGGCAACGAGCTAAGTGAATCTACAAGACAGCGAATCAGAGAACCCGGGGTGGCTAACCCAGTGAGGTCGCTCCGATGCTTAAGTCAGTAAATTGTGTTGCGAGCTGAAAAGCTTTGAGAGCTAGAGAGCTAGAGAACTAGAGAGTAGAAAAATCACGCGTACCTTGTGTCATTGGGGTTGGTGCCTTTATATAGTTGAGCCTTCGCAGGTTTTGCGGATCGGTTCCGAGATCTTCGTCCTGATGGGATCCGTTTCTGCTTTAATTGGGGAGTAACGTTATCAATTAATAAAGATTATCAATTCCGCTCAATCCGGGAGGGGATAAGATAAGCTTGTTGTTACGTGGTGTGATCCCGTGAGGTTCGGAGTTTGTTGGAGAGACTTCCGGGATCGTTATGTGACGGTCCAGGTCGGTAACCCCGAGCTGATACTTCAGTCTTTTAGTTTCGAACTGGATTGAGTGCCGAGGTGATTATGCGTCGAGGTGACCCTGAGCCAAGATAAACCTGTGCCGAGGTGATTGAATACCCGAGCTCAACTGTTGTGAACTAGGCATGCCAAGCTCAGCTATCATCTCTTAGTCAGTTCGTGTCAACGTGTCCCCTTTTTGCTAGGTCGGGCCAAATCACCCTTCATCAATTGCCCCCCACTCCCCGAGCCAAGGGACTTAACCTGGCGCGGGGAGTTCATGACGAGTCCAGGTGGATTTGGCACGAGGTCTAGAAGGTTTGACGAGCGAATCATTGGTCAGGCCAGTTCAGCCGCTCGGCTCAACCAGGAATAACCCAGGTCGCGTCAGGTGTACGCGCGGACGTCAAGCCGTTTTATAAACTCCGCGGACATCAAAACACGGGCTAAACCGATTTTAACCTCGATGGTCATGCAACCGGTTTTCCTAGGAGTCGTTGGATCATGATAATCTCGACCGTTGATTCCCGGACAAACCAGCTATAAATAGGGGTAAGGGACTCATTTTCTTCGCCATAAGTCCACTAATCTTCAACCTGAGGTCGCTCTCGAGTCCTCCAGTTTGGTGTCTCTTCAGTTCGGTGTCTTTCCGAGGTCGTCTTCCTTTCTCCGGTCTTTCTTTTGGTGAGTCTTCCCTAGCTCTCTTTTTCGATTCTGCGTCTTTCCATTATGTCTAGCTTTAGTTTCGATAGCCTTTTAGACGGAAGCGGTGAATCCGTTGGAGCCAAGGTGGGGTAGACATAGTAGGGTTTGTACCCAAACTGTTTATGCCTTAGGCATGAGAACTGATTTGCCTATGCCAAAGAGGTGACTAGGACTTGTTTGCCTATGCCGAAGAGGCGACCAGGACTTGTCCGCCCATGCCAAAGAGGCGACTGGGACTTATCCGCCCATGCCGAAGAGACGACTGGGACTTATCTGCCCATGCCGAAGAGGCGACTGGGACTTGTCGTAGTGCCGAGGTCTTATATCAGCTCAGCATCATGGCCCTTGGGCTTCTAGGAGTGACTCGCAGTCCTCTCTCCAGTTCAGTGATCACAAGTAATATCTTCTTAGGTTGTTGATGTTCCACACTCGAGGTACTTGCTTCCCCTCCAAAGTCTCAAGCTCGTACATACCTTCCCCTCTGTTGGTAAGCTGCAGTCCGAATGTATGCCAGGTCTCGTACTTCCTCCACCAGGTCCAGGTTAGTATGAAGCTTGTCATCATTCGTCTCTTCATCGTAGGCCTCCAAGCGTAGTGTAGGCACCTTGGTTTCTGCTGGGATCACCGCTTCTATGCCGTAAGTGAGGTTAAAAGGAGTCTCACCTGTGGTAGTCTTGATGGTAGTCCGGTAGGCCCAGAGTACACTGGGTAGTTCGTCTACCCACAATCCTTTGGCTCGAGCTAAGCGAGCTTTCAGTCCGCGAAGTATGGCTCTGTTGGTGACTTCCGCTTGCCTATTCGCCTAGGGGTGTGCCACTGAGGTGAAATTTTGCTGAATTCCCATTTCGACACACCAATTTTGAAACTTGATATCCTTGAATTGTTTCCCATTGTCGGAGATGAGTACCCGAGGTAGCCCGAAGCAACACACTATGTTCTTCGAAAAGAAGTTTTGTATGTTGCGAGTCGTGATTGTTGCTAGGGGTTCAGTTTCCACCCACTTTGTAAAATAGTCTACTGCTACGACCAGAAACTTCCTCTGTCCTGTCACTGGCGGGAATGGGCCAAGTATGTCAATTACTCACTGTGCAAAGGGCCATAGGCTAGTGAGGTATTTCAGGTCGGCAGCAGGTCGGTGGAGGATGTTAGCATGCCTCTAACACTTATCACACTTCTTGACGAGCTCAATTGCGTCTGTCTTCATCGTGGGCCAGTAGTAGCCCTGTCGTAATGCCTTCTATGCTAGAGCCCTACCCCCCAAGTGTCCACCGCACAAGCCTTCATGGGTGTCGCGGAGTACATACTCGGCCTCTGAGGGTCACAAGCAGCGTAAGTAGGGGAGCGTGAAGGACCTTCTATACAGTTGTTCGTCTATAATGATGTACTTAGCCGACTGGCGCTCTACCATTCGGGCCGCATTGCGTTCTTCAGTGAGGGTCTCGTGAAGTAGGTAACTCACGAGTGGGTCGATCCAGCTCAATTCTGCTTGTGCTACAGGAGCGACCTCTTCTGCCCCCCTAAGAATGCTAGGCCGAGGTAAATCCTCTATATACACGACCCGCATGGTTTTGCAACTTGTGCTGGCTAATCGGGATAAGTAATTGGCCTCAGCGTTCTCGGACCTCGGAATATGTCTGATGAAGTAGGAAATGAAGTTGCATAGGATCTCCCTAACTTTGGCCAAGTAAGC